GCTCAGTCGTAGAGCCTCTGCTTACCCTACAGAAGGTCCCAGGTTCAATTCCCAGAATCCCCAGTTAAAAGGATCAGGTAGTAGGTGACGGGAAACCCCTCAGCCTGAGACCACCAGTCAAAGGAGACCATATTGAGCTTGATAGACCAAAGATCTGATTGAGGAGAAGACCGCTTCATGAGAATGTTAAGTTTCTTATTCGATAGTCAGGAGGCAGCAGGCTTCGAAATCCAGGTCAAAAACTCCCCCTGACTAAAAAAAAAGAGAAGAAGTTGCAGAAAGAAAGATCGGCCCAGGGAGAAGACGGAGAAAGGCAGGTAAAATATAGCTGTGAGAGTGCAGAACTGGGAGACACCTGAGGGCCTATTTCCTCACAGATGAAAAGAACCATGTCAAGTGATGATTCCGATTCTATTCAGACTCCCCGTCCCCAGCTTCTCCCAGTTGTATAACAAAAGGAATATTAAATGATACAGCAAAATTAATGTTACAAATCAGCGTCAGCCACATAAATCAGCCCCAGCGAGGCCGGAGAAGATTTACGGCTGAGGTGGGGCTCCGACTGGTCCTTCGGAAGGAGTACATCCTCCCTCCCGCCGAGCGGAGAATTCCTTAAGCAGGTCACACGCCCCGGGAAACCGTTCCCCTCAGGTTGTCCTTCCTCCGCCAGAGAACCGGTATAAAATGAAATCCGTTTCCCGCTTTTATGGGAAAAGTCCCTCAAATTTGTACTCTTCAAGGGCAGTCCAGGGGCAGGGGGGTGTCTTTCCCCACCCGCGCATCTCCTTGCCGGGTCGACTTTAAAAATATTCCGCTCAGTTTTCGACCACTTGACTGCTTTTTATTTTGGATTTATTTATTTTTTACAGCCGACCTCAATATTTGACAATGGGGCCGCCTCATCTCCACACGCAGCAATAAATGGTCATGTTCCCCCCCCCTCGCCCTTCCTTCAAAGGGACCTGAGGAAGCGTACAATGTTTTCTTAATTTTCTTCTCACAGCCATCAGTGGCTATTAGCCACAAGGTATAGATAGGGACTCTGGGGCAAGGGATGCTCTGTATTCTTGGTGCTTGGGGGGGAGGGGTGAACAGTGGGAGGGCTTCTACTGTCCTGGCCCCACTGGTGGACCTCCTGATGGCACCTGGTATTTTTGGCCACTGTGTGACAGAGTGCTGGACTGGATGGGCCTTTGGCCTGATCCAACATTGGTGTCTCTTATGTTCTTATAGGAACTCTTGGTCTGGGGCAAGTGATGCTCTGTATTCTTGGTGGCTGGGGGTGGGGGGACAGTGGGAGGGCTTCTAGTGTCCTGGCCCCACTGGTGGACCTCCTGATGGCACCTGGTATTTCTGGCCACTGTGTGATACAGAGTGTTGGACTGGATGGGCCTTTGGCCTGATCCAACA